CCACAGACCACAGCTCCCGCCCCATGCCTTCTTGTTCCTACTTTTGGGGCTGGATCGTTGGCGAGGTGCCTCTTTCACCTGCAGACCTTGCCAGGGAGTTGCCATCCTGCCGCAGCCATGCCCAGGACTGGATGCTGGGGTTGCCTACTGTTGGAAGTGGCAGCTGCCCGGGTGAGAACTTCAAACTGCCATTAAACCCTACCCAAGGTGACTCCGGTGACTCCAGGCTAGTCTAACTGCTGAACCAGGAATGGGGTTGTGGGCTCCTGGAGGGATCTCAGCCATCTCAGGTACAGGCTTGTGGGATCTGGGTTCCCTTTCTTTATGTTTTTATTTTTACATGTGTGTTTTGCTTGCATATCTGCATGCATGCAGTATTTGAGGAGGCCAGGAGAGGGCACCAGATCTCCTAGAACTGGAGTTACAGACAGATGTGAGCCACCGTGTAGGTGCTGGGAATTGGTGCTGGGAACTGAACCCGAGTCCCAAGACTAGCCAAGGGTTTTAAATGATGGACCATTTTTCCAAGTCTCTCTTTTTCCTCTCTCTGTGTAGTTTTAGAGGCTGTCCTGGAACTCACTCTGTAGCCCAGGCTATCCTTGAACTCACAAAGATCTGCCTGCCTCTGCCTCTGAAGTTTTCGAAATTCTGGGATTAAAGTTCTGAATGCACTACCACCACCTAGACTGACCGTTTTTTTTTTTTTTTTTGAGACAGGGGTTTCTCTGTAGTCCTGGCTGTACTGGAACTCACTCACCTTGTAGACCAGGCTGGTCTTGAACCCACAGAGATCCATCTGCCTCTGCCTCCCAGTGGTGGGGATTAAAGGTAGCCTTCTGGAATGCTTGGTGAGCACCACCACACCCAGTCAGAATGCCCAAGCCCCCCCCCCACCTCTCTCTCTCTCTCTCTCTCTCTCTCTCTCTCTCTCTCTCTCTCAATTTAGGGAAGGTCTCAACTATGTAGCCTTGGCTGTCCTGGAACTTTCCATGTGGACCAGGCTGGCTTTGAACCCACAGAGATCTGCCTGTCTCTGTCTCCAGAGTGCCTCTGTTTACCCCTTTCCTCTCAGCCCAGACTCCACCCCTGCTTCTTGCCAGGGCTGGCCCCCACTGGCCCATCTCCCTATCCTGGGCGCTCACACAGCCACACCTATCCCAGTTTGTTGTGGGGCCAGGAAGAGACACCACATTTCCAGCACTACATGGTGTCTGCTTCAGTGGCTGTCACCACTGGGGAGGCTGTCTGCTTCTCGTCAGCTGTCCACTGCTTCAATACAGGTGACATTCTGGGGCCACTAAGGGATAAACTAAAGGCCATCAGAAGCTAGAATGTGCCAGACAGGACCAACTCCTCCCCCTGGGGCACTTTCATGTCACTGCTGGGAATAGCAGCACTGTCTGGGAATTTCAGTTAGTCAGAAGACTGGAAGACTGAGTCAGGATGATAGAAAATTGAAGTTAAATTTTAGCTATAGACTGGGAACCTGTTTCAAATAAAAACAAAGAAACAAACAAACAAATAAATAAATAGTTGAAGTTGAATAGTAGCTGCTATCCCTAGAATCCCCCAGTGAGGGGCTGGAGGCGTGGTCAGGGTGGAGCCCCGCCTAGAATCCCCAGTGAGGGGGATGGGGCGTGGTCAGGGTAGAGCCCCGCCTAGAATCCTCCAGTGAGAATCTTGGTCCGGGCATGGTCATGGGTAGAACACTAGTCTAGCAAGTAGCTTGAAGCTTTTAGTTTCATATTCAGCACTGCAAAGTAGTATCATGGAAATAAGAATTATAGCAAATAAGTCTGTGCTTAATAAATAAATAAGAACTGTGCTCAGTTCCAGCGTGTTTTTTATAACTCTTTAAATTGATATGGCAAGGACTGGCGCATCGCAGGAGTAGAGAGCCCGATAAACCTGCAGACAGGGAGGGGCTGCATGAGCTCCTGACACAGCGAACTGGTGATCTTACCCGCTTGTCCCCCACACGACAGCATCCCAGTTCCCAGCCTGCCATGCAGCTGCAGGAGGGTGACTGGCAGACCCGGGCCCACCTGACTTCTGAGTTTATTTCATTTTCTTGTGGGTTGGGATGAACTCTTTTCATTTCTAGACAGGGTCTCACTGGAGCTCAGAAATCTGCCTACTTCTGCTTCTCAAGTGCTGGGGTTCAAGGCGTGTGCCACCACACTTAGTCTGAACCCTTTTCCTGCATTCTGGGAAAGGGCTCTGCTACTGGTCCATGCCTGTGATCTTGGAATTCTGTTTGAAAATGGCTGGCAGGACCTTGGATTTCTGAATCCTGTCTTTCACCTCCACTGCCCAGAACCCTCCATAAATCCTGCCTCTGTCAGAATCAAAATCAAAGCCAAGAGCCCCGAGGCCCTGCTTCTCAAGGAAGTTCTCAGAACTGGCTGACAGCTGAGTGAGTGTCTTAGGATGAAAAGGAGGAAATGAGGGCTCCATCTGGGGTGAGGTTCCCTAAAGCCAACTGACATCTAGTACAGGTGGGGAAACTGAGGTAAAGGTGCAGCTACTTGGAGTAGTCCCTCCCTGGAAGTCTGGTCGTTCTGCCCTCACCTCAGTGAGCGTCGATTGGCAGGAGACCTCGCAGAGGCTCCCTCCCGATAGCTCCACAGCTGATGGGTGCCGGTTCCTGAAGGATGATGTCTCATGTTCAGGAGCCCGGCGTGGGTGGGGCTGGAATGGTGGGCCTTCACCCCCGAGGACATAGGGAGTTATGGAGAGCTAAGGAATGGAGGAAGCTGAGAGGTAAGGTGGGGTGTCATATCTCTGGTCCAGGACGGAGATGCCTGAAGAGGAGGCGAGGGTCCTGATGGTGGGTGGACCACAACTTGTACTGATTCTGTTTATTTTATTTACTTACTTACTTACTTATTTATTTATTTTTGTTTTTGGAGACAGGGTTTCTCTGTATAGCTTCGGAGCCTGTCCTGGAACTCTGTAGATAGATCAGGCTGGCCTTGAACGCACAGCGATCCACTTGCCTCTGCCTTTCGAGGACTGGGATTAAAGGAGTGTGCCATCATTTCCTGGCTTGCTACTGACTCTTGACAGGGCCTGTACCTTGGTGTCCCTGAGGGGACCCTAAAGGAGGAGCGGGTGGCTCCCCCAGCTGAAGGGCCCAGCTGTACTGGGCCCTGCTGTGAGGCTATTGTTATTGCCACCGCCGGCAGCCGCCTTGTATCCTGCTGGGGCCTCTGCCAGGGCTGATGGAACTGAGTGTCTGCCATGCTCTCTACCCACAGTGGGGACCGCCAGTGGCGTGGTTTCTGCTCCTATGATGGCTTGTGTATGAGGAACTGAGGCCACAAGAGGGGTCCAGGCCTGGGTCCCCCTAGCGTTTGACTAAAGGGAGAACCGAGCCCCAGGAAGGGGAGCGGTGGCTGAGAGACGCACGGAGTTGCTCCGTTCAGGAGCAGGCTTTGTCCTGGGACTGTAGGTATAATCATACGAAGCCCGCCAGCAGGGGGCAGAAACAGCTGCGCTCTCAGCAGCTCGACTCCTAAAAGCTGATTCTTCACTATGGTGGGGATTTTCACTGAAAAGAGAGCCCGGGAGCCGAGATTTAACAGACTTCAGCTGTTTCGGGAGACACTGCTAAGCAGGCCGTGTATTGCTCAAAAACCCAGACCTGTCTGTGTATAAGAGACTCCTTTGGAGGACACAAGCCCCCAAGAGTGACACCTAGCTCTAACCTTATTTCTCACTCCAGGTAGACTCTGGGGGACCCTTCTTGGTCTGTGGGAGCCCGGCCCATGACTTTGTCTCCTTCTCAGGTCTCTGGTGTGGTGACCCCAAGACTTCAGATGTCTATACTCAGGTGTCTGCGTCTGTGGCCTGGAATGTGGTTTGGAGAAGTTCCTCCCCTTGTTCTAGATATTCTGTGAGGGATGTTGGCCTCTCAGCCCCCACTGGAGTGGAGATGGATGGCTAAGAGCTGGCCGGAGAGTCCTGGGAACTTGGGGCTTGGGCTGCAGGCATCCATACTAAGTGAACAGAGGCACTGAGGGCTAAGAAGGTACATGGCGTACGGCCGATGTGTGCCCTATAAGGAGCCCACTTAGCCAAGGCCCTTCCACAGCTCCTGCACCCACCAGGCTCCCACACCATAGGCCCCCTGTTCAGGTGGCCCCTGGGCCTTTGTGCGTTCTCTGTTCCCTTATGGGCAGCAGTCTAAACCCCACTAACACATACACAGGGAACTAATATATATAGTGACGACAAAAAAATAAAAACGGTATCACTCCGTCCCTGAAATCGAAGATGAGCCTGGCCTGCTATGCTGAAGTTGCCTCAACACAGTAATCATTGTGTCAGCCTTCACTCCTGAGCCATCTTGTCCCTGTACCTCTAAGACCCAGAAGGGCCCACTTCTCCCTCCCCTCCACTTGCCCCATGCTCCCCAGGAACCCACGAGCACGTGCCATATCTTTGGAAGCTTTCATAGGTGGTCCCACGCTCTACCCTAGTCTCCAGGCTCAGAGAGAAAAGGCAGGTGGTCCTGGTCACCACAGTGGTTTTATCATCTTTATTTCTTTTGTGAGGCAGAACCCCAGGATGGGAGAAGCTGCCTCGGCTGCCTGCTAAGGACACTTTTTGGGATACTGCAAGAAAGGCCCAGCTGAGGACTTGAGGGAGGATAAAAGACCCTGGGAAATCCTTTCCCCCACATGGGGGGCTCTCGCATGCTCCTATGATTCTCGGTATGTGATTGAACATTTTGTCTTCCTTTTTTAAGTATTTATTTATTTATTTATTTATTTATTTATTTTGAGACAGGGTTTCTCCGTGTAACAGCCCTGGCTGTCCTCGAACTCACAGAGATCCTCCTGCCTCTGCCTCCCAAGAGTTGGGATTAAAGACATGTAAAAAGCCGGGTGGTGGTGGCGCACGCCTTTAATCCCAGCACTCGGGAGGCAGAGGCAGGCGAATCCCTGTGAGTTCAAGGCCAGCCTGGTCTACAAGAGCTAGTTCCAGGACAGGCACCAAAAACTACAGAGAAACCCTGTCTCGAAAAATCAAAAAAATAAAAAAATAAAGACATGTAAAAATATGGGCCTGTATAATATGGCCCTAAACCACCCGACCCCTTTTAAGTTTTTTAGAGATATAAGGTTTCAGTCTGGCCTTAAACTCACTGTGCAGTCAAGGCTGAGCCTGTACCCCTGATCACGCCCATGTCTGTTTTACATGTGGGAGCTGGGAAGCACTCTAGCCACTGAGCTACAGCCCCCATTCTTCGTGGTCTCCTTCAAGGCACATGTGGGTAATTCTGAGTGCAGCTGTCAGAGGGAAGGGTCATGCCCCAGGCAGCACCTGACTGATGGGTAGGGCTGGGTGGGCACTGGGTAGAAGCTGATTCTGGTGTCTCCAGAACAGGGCAATAGGCACTAGAGTGACTCTGGAGCGCTCTGGGCACAGTGAGTCCTGGCATCCACTGGCTACCCTGGGCCTGCCAGTCAGTCACGGCCTGGTGGAACGGATAGGGAAGAACCCAGTGTTTCTCTGGGCTGAGGCCGAGAGGCCCTGTGTGAACAGTAGTTGTGGCGGACACACTACACTACCACTGACCGTGCCCTGAGACTCAGCTCCAGTCTGGAAAGCAGGCAGAGAGATCAAGCAGGGGTCTCTGTGAAGCTGCCCTCCTTGGAATCCTAACTTGATCCTTGTACCTGGTGATGGCACATACCAACTCTTATAAAACCTCCCTTCAGTCCTTGTGATACATGCTCAGGATCCTAGGGGACCCCAAGTGCTTTCAGGCCAGGTTTGGGGAATGTCCATGTGACATAAATTAGAATCTTTTCTGTGACAATAAATAATTGGGACGGCCTCAAATACCAGGCCCAGCTGCTGCAGCTCACAGGAAGTTCTCCTCCTCCTCTGGTGGTACTTTGGGGGCACCTGCAAGGGTGGAGGAAACGGGCAAGAGTGAGCGCATGTGCTATCCCTTGGAGGACCAACGCCCAGACCCACGGAGTCTCACCTGTGCAGATGCCCGGGTGGCGAACTCCAATGGAGCGACCCAGGAAGCAGGTGGCCTGGCGCAGGTGACACGAGGAGATGTAGGTAACGTTGTTGTTGCCACAGAGTTCCTGGCCGGGGCTGGAAGGCACCGGGCAGGGGGCAGAACGACACACCACACAATGAGCGCTGCCGGTCTGGTCCACAAGGCACGACTGGGGGCGTGGGCACACTACGTGAGCGCAGGACTCTGTGGGCCCGAGAGAGGGCGGGTCAGGTCCTGGATGAAGTTTCCACTCAATGAGTCCAGCTACCCTTAGACTAGGACTCCACTAGAAAGCCCCATTCCTAGGACTTAAAGGTACCGCCACTCTTCAAGCCCCGCCCTGGAACGCCAGCTCCAAGCTGCTGTCAAGACCGGTCCCCTTGAAGACAATCCCCATCCCGGCTGTATTAAGCCCCACCCTAAAACGCGAGTCCAGCTCACCTCCGTCAAGCCCAGTCCTTCAGAGACAAGCCCCGCCCCCAGGACAACGCCCCATTCAGCCGTCAAACCCTGCCCCGGTCTGCCAAGCTCCACCCATCAGGTTGACTTCATGGCTCCACCCACGTTCCCCCTCCCAGTCCATCCCGAGCCTCTTTCCCTGGCTGCGCAGCTTCTCCCGCGCCAGCACTTGTGAGGGCACGCTGGCCCGCAGGGCTGTGGAATGCTACGTGCTGCTGCGCACAGCCCTGCCCCCGGACACGCCCGAGAGTTGCAGTTATCCCGGGGCTCGGGCTCAAACTCTGAAGCCAGCCTGGCGACTTTGACACCCACCTGACCTGACCCTCAGGCCCCTCCGTAGAAGACGGCCGTCGTGGCCACGCCTCTACAGAGCCCATTTACCAACATTTGCCCCCAACCCCGTACAGGTCACGCCCCTCAAGGCCCTGCCCGGAGTAGCCTAAGCCCCACCCATTTCAGACCATGCCCTTAAGTAGGCCCAACGCTCCCCGAGCGCCTCGGCTCCAGGCTCCGCCCCTGCTTGGTCACACCTCCCCTAGTCCCCGCCCCTCAGCTGCCCGACTCCACCCATCATCATGCACTACCTCCCCGTCTTATCTCCCGAAACCCCGCCCCCAGTCCCCGCTTTCATCTTCATGGCCCCGCCCCTCCACGACCGCGGCCCTTACTTTGGCAGCGGCCTCTGTACATGATGCGTAGGTCCGGGTGTCCACGGCAGCGCGCCACGCGCAACTCGCACTCGTCCCGGTAGGTGGCGCCATCAGAGCCGCAGACCTGTAAGCCCGTGGGAAGCCCCTCGCAGTCGGGTGCGCACTCGCAGTGTGGACGGCCCCCCACCATGCGGCACGCCTTGCCGGGTCCACACTCCACGCCGTCGCAGGAATCTAGGGACACAGGACGTGCACAGGTGTGCTTCACACGTGCCACTGGAGTCCAGGTTCACCTTAGCGCACAACGACTGAGTGAACGTGCCTACAGGGCTCCCACTTGGGGGAGTGGAGAAACTGAGACTCGCCTAGACAAAGTCTTGTGTTGGGGTTTCCACCTTGCCCCACACAAGACTTTATTTTGTTATCTTGAGACAGCTTCTCCAATAGCCTAGGCTGGCCTTGAACTCCTAATCCTCCTGCCTCCTACTTCCCAAGTGCTGGGAATCTGGGACTGCACCACCACTCCTGTCCCTGTGTCCCTTTTAATACGTTGTTCAGCCACCATTTTACAGATGGGAAAACTGAGGCTGTTATGGCTCCAAGTACAGGAGGACTCCAACACATCCTAGCTTGAGAACAGCAAGATGGACTCAGAATGGACATCCTTCCCTCTCCCAGGTCAGTTGCTCTGTGGGTCTGAAGAACAGACATTGAACTCACTGGAGGGAGGTACATTACAGGGCCCGCCCACCCACCCACCTGTGCTTCGGGAACTGACCCTCTAGCCAACTTGAGGAAACCGAGGAACTAAAGGGGAGGGGCAAATTCCTGTCCGCAGGACCCAGGGATGCAGGAGGCTGGAGAAGGCAACCATAGGCCCTTAGGCCCAGGTCAGGCCGTTCTGGCCGTGTATCCTCTTCCCAGAAGCTAGGGCTGGGGTCTGGAGGAGGGGCGCATGGCAGTGGGCTTGGGACACAGCCAGGCTGATCTGACATTAATCCTATCCCAGAGGCCAGTGCTGGTCTGCAGCCTTGACTCCTGGATAAGCTGTCTGTGGCACCCGGCCCTCCTACACACAAACTCCTAATACCCTCCATCTAACCCCAGCACTCTCCCCAGGCCCACAGAGAGACCACCAGGACCCCACCCCTCACCTACCTTTGCAGGGCAGGCAGTGCACCAGGCCCAGGAAGCCCAGCAGGCTGATTTTATTGCCCGGGTGAGTGAAGTTGGACCAGGCTGTATTGATGTTGCTGGAGGAGCAACACTCCTCCCGACTGACATCTGTCTTCAACACCAGGCTGCAGGTGGCCTCTCTGTCCTGCTGCAGCCAGCACACACCACCTATGCGGCAATGGAGGAGGAGGGTGACCCCGGACCCCAGCTCTACCTATGAATTATTCTGTGCGTACGTTCTTTGTGTGGCAAACTCCTAACCAACCCCCAACACTCCAGGACTAATGCCCCCTCCAATTGAGAGATGCCCATTGCTAATCATGGATATCCTGCCCCCCAACACGGGAGAAAGGCACAGAAAGCCACAGTTATGGTCCTGACTCTGCTCTGTGGGGAGCCCTCCTCCTCTGAGTCGCACCCCAGTGCTCCACCACCAGCTCCTGCCCAGCCTCCGGCCTGAGAACTGGCACCCTGCCCAGCCCCTTCAAATGCCAGGCACTCGGCATGTGAGGGTCTGTGGGCCTGCACTGGCTTCCCGCCTCTGCCCTGTCTAGACAGTGCCCAGGGCAGCCGAGCCCCCGGCCTGCAGCCCCCCCTCGCCTGACCCGCCTCTTACTCACTCCAACTGGGGAACATTCCCTCTGCGTGAGCTCACTCCCCTGGGATGGGACGGGGGACGCGGCCCTAGGGAAGGGGGCTCGGCTCCCCTGGAGGCCAGCAACCCTGCAGGGCGGGGTGGAGGCTGGAACGCAGAACCCTCGGCTTTCTTCACCCTTAAATGGGGACAGCTGCATCCCCTCATCCGTGCTCGGGAGACACTACCGACCGCCTTCCTCGAACTGGGCCCCAGCACCTCAGCAAACATTTTTCAAAAAAGGGAAACTGAGGCTAGAGCTCTCCCAGCCAGATGCAGGTACACCATTCCAACAGAGGCGTTCCATTTAGGGGATCCTGAAACCCTCCACCCAGATGGCATTAGTAGGTCCAGTCACCCAGAGATGTCTCTCTAAAAGAGATGTCTCTCTAAAAGAACCACCCACAGTGCCACTTACAAGGTTCATGACCCCAAGCCTCAGTTTACCCATCCTGAGAACGGGGATGGAAAAAGTACCCACAACTTTGGGTTCTGTGGTCTCATGGGAAAGGAGGTAAACAGTAAGAGCTTAATAAATAAATGTCAGTCCTCTCTTGAGGCTGGAGGCGTGGAGCACCCCACTCACCTACGCAACCAGAGCGCACCCCCAGACATCCCCCTGCCGCATTCCGCAGGCCACGTGGGTGGCCCACTCTCCCGCCCCTTCCGCCCAGCCCCACTCACCGGGCGCGGAATCCCCCGAGCCCATCACGGCACCCACGGATCCCACTGCCCAGACCAGGGCTCCCCAAAGCAGCGGCCACAGTGCCCCAGGACACATGGCGAGTGTGGAGCAGCGGGGACTCTGTGAGTGCGGGCGCCTCGGCCTATAAAAGCCCAAGGCGGGCGGGGCCGGCGACGGGCGGGGCGGGGCGCGGCGGGACGGACGTGTCCCCT